TAGCCGGACCTCGGGGGGCTCCTGTCTTGGGCGTCATCCCACGATGATGCCCTCACTCACTCAATGATGCCCTCTTTTGGATCATATTTGATTGTTTTAGCGCCCCTTTGGGACAATCACGGGCAGAAAAAGAACATGAAGAAGGGCTAGCCCAACCACCATGACCTATCTCCTTTCTCTTTGCCTCCCGTTCCCTTTGCTCTCATCCCCTTTTGTTTCTTACTTTAATTTCTCCACTCCGCCTTGTCTTCTTCCGCTTTGAAACCTCCCTGTAATCACCCCCCCACTAATACGATTTACGGATAGTATCAATTTACTCTCAGATACTCTTGTGACCAGCCAAATACCTAAATGGATTTCACATCATCAGAATCAGATGGATATGTGGGTCAATCGGGACAAGATCAGAGAGCTGTAGTGTTTTTTGTCTTTTGCTTTGTTTCTTGTTCAACGACTATGTCGTTTTATCTCTCCTCTCGTGTATGGTGTATGCTATGCTATCCACTTATGCCACCAATAAATAAATGCATAAATATGCCCATTCAAAATTGTCACACACAAAAAAATAAAAAAAAGGAAAAATTGATCTGATAGTCAGAGAGTGAGAAGTTGAAAAAGTTTGAGATAGCGCCCTTGTCGTAGCCCTTTTTCGGAAATAGGGGCTACAAATCCTTCGACGCCCCCCGGGTTTACCCGAGGGGGGCGCCGGATATCGGATAGGGGGCTAGAAATAGTGGTGTCCTATTTTTTTCCTCCTCAAGTATGTATCTCGTTTTTTGTAATATTTTCAATTCCTTTTTGTTTTACAACATGGCTAACATACACATTTCCTTCACATTTATAATTCATAGGGCCTCAAGTACAAGTGCCAATACTGTCTCAATACCTATTCTGCTGGAAAAACGTCGTATTACGGATTGTGGGGTCATCGTGACGGCAAAGAGAATCGTCCTGTGTGCAAGATGCGTCACAAAGCAATTGCCGCAGGAGTCGTTCTACCGCCGTCTTATGATGAGCAGCTCGAAGCCGAAAAGAAGGACAAGAAGGCAAGTTTAAAATCTTACTTCGCTGGCCCAAAGTTCTCAGCCGACCTGGTCAATATGATCCTGGTCTTGTGGCTGGTTCGCCATGCTCTTCCATGGGCACGCTTTGAGGATCCTGCTCTTTGAGCAGGTTTTCACACCGTCAATCGCGGTGCTACGATTCGATCAAGAACCTGGGCAGCACAGAAATCGGTTATCCTATATTCTGGTTTGCACGACCAGGCTATTAACACGGTTAAAGTAAGTATCTGTACCTTTATAAACTTTTCTCAGTTCTATCCCACCTCAATCTTGTTTGGTATCTGTATCTGATATAAAATTTCTCATTGAAATCGACATAGGTAAATAAGGGCAAGTTTTGTTTGGTACACGATGTATGGACTACCAAGGGCAACCGTTACGCTTTCATTGGAGCCACCGCGAATTATATTGACGACGACTGGAATTACCGATCGACACACCTTACCCTGAAGTTAGTGGCTTGGCATCATTTTGGGGCCCTTCTAGCAAAACCTATTGGGAAATTTCTGATTCGTCACGGGCTTCATAAAAAGATATGTTCTTTTTTTTCTTATATTCCTTTTCCACAATTGTATGTCCTGATGATCATCATTATCTTTTCTTTATTTCTTACATGCTAGCTCAGGTTACCGACAGTGGCGGTAACAACGGACCGATGGCTGCTGAGATGCAGTCGATGTTTGCGGGAGCTGCTGATCCAACCTTCTGGAGTGCCTCTTCGCAACACGTTAAGTGCTACGCCCATAAGCTCAACCTCACGGTTGGACATGGGCTCAAAGTACTTGGCCAGAAGGTAAGTGTTGCAAAGCCTGGCATCCCTCACGGTCACAGTCTTCCTATCCCAGCTCTGGAGGCAAATGATGGCGAAGATGAGGTGGATATCCATAACGCCGAATCAGATGAAGACAACGACGAGAATCTACCTGAGAAACCAGATGGAGTAGATGAGGACGATACTAACCAGGAAATGCAGATTCATGGTGAAGTATGTGAAAAGGACGACGTGGTTGCTCTTGCCCTTGCCAAGGTGAGTTCTTGATTTTTACCTCTCTCTGTCTCTCTTTCTCGTTCTTTCATCTCTTCTTTATACTTGCTAATCAGCCTTTCTATGTACAACCTTTCTGACTGTCTAGGTTGATACAGTGAGTGGGCAGATCACCAGCAGTGCAGCCCGACGAAGCGACTTCAAGACACGTTCGACTCGGTTGGGTTACCAAGGCCGTATGCTCAAACGACCTTGCAAAACTCGGTGGAACAGTCACTACGAGAGTCGCAAGGTGGCTTGCGAGGCACAGGAGGTCGGTCAAGAAAATCGCAAACACAAATCTTTTATAAATCAAAGTTTATACGTTAACTGTCATTGTTTTGTCCTGTCTAGGTAATCAACTCTATGCTTGCTGCGGATCATAAAGCGTGTTTTTTTAAGGGAGTCACCATCTCCCCTGCCGAATGGCATGCAGTGGAACTGGTCAACAAGGTTCTTAAGGTGGGTTTCTCTCTGTTGGTTTTCTCAGCAATTGATATACTAATATAATTGTTATTCATGTAGACCTTTGTTGATGCCACTGCCCGTGTCGAAGGCAATGGACCAACTGGATGTATCCTCTTGCAGGAATACAAACGTGTAATCACTGAGCTGGACAGCCATGCATCCGATGCCTCCGAATTTCAAAGCGTTGTTGCCGCGATCAACGAGATGAAGATATGGCTGGCCAAGTACCAGGAAGAAGCTTTGAACACCGACAGTATTCTTCTCGCCACTGTCCTTAACCCTCGATTCCGCGGGAAATTCTTCTCTGTACATTATCCTGATTTCGAGCTCGCTGCCAACTCGGCAATTGAAACGGCTTTCGATTGTGCCTTGCAAGAAACTGAAAATCAAGAGCCATCCACATCTCCTGATGATGGGAAACCTGACAAGGATCCTGACACATTCGATATCTTTGGATCGTCTAACAATGTGACTGACACATCATCTACCACTGAACTTGAGACGTATTTGCAAGGCAAATACCCAATCTTCAAGGATCAAACACCTCTTGCTTGGTGGAAGGTTTGTCCCACTTGTATATATTCTTTTTCTTTTCCTTTTTTATCTACTCTACCTTGCTCACGACTAACTTTATTTCATAGAAACATGAACACCAGTTTCCGATCCTTGCACAACTGGCACGAGATTACCTTTTGATCTTGGCCACGTCATGTGCATGTGAGCGCACCTTTTCCGCCGCAGCCGATATCTGTACTCCATCACGTGGAAATATGCTTCCAAAGACGATGGAGCGTCTTGTGGGTTCGCAAGCTTGGTTGAAGGAGGGGTTTGTCCCGGGTGGAGATTTTGAGGAGGCTGCACAAGCTCTTCAATTTTATATGGATAGCTTGGTTAAAAAAAAGGATAGCTCGGTTGAAAAAAAGGGCTAATGTCTTGTGTTTTCTTTTTCTTTTATCTATCTTCTATCAACAGATACAAAAATGCCTCGGTTCTTTCTTATTTCTTTTATACTAGCTTCTAACTTTGTTTCTTTCATGAATCAAATATTTCCTACTACTATTTCTCTTTTTTTGATTTCTTTGAAGCCGTAAACACATTTTTTAAGTCCTCTGACGCGCTGTGCGCCGCTATATAGCGATGTGCGCCACTATATAGCGGCTTAGTGCGGTGCGCCGCTATATAGCGCTGTTCGTAGTGGTTTAACCACTACGAACCCCCGAGTGAGAATTGTTTTAAAAAAGAGCGGTTAAGTGTGTAGTGCTTTAGAGCGGCAATTGCGCACCGCACCCAAAATAGTCGAATTTCCTGTTTGTAGCGTAGCGGTTGCGTTGTTGGCTTGGGGTCCCGGTGAGTTCGTATTGATGTCGGAATATGGGTTCCTTCCGGCTTTCAGACCACCTTTTCTGTACGGGTTGTCGTCTAGGTTGAGGTCACCTTGTGCTCTTGCTGAACAGTAGATTTCTTCGACAAGTCCGACTGGTTCTATGGAGGGATTTGGGACACTATCGTTAGGGTTTCTGATTGCGAAGGTAGCCTTCCGTATAGTTAGATCGTAGCGGAAGGCCACGACCCAAGAGCGTTGGTCTTTGAAAATCTTGATAACTTTTCTTCGATGAATTTCTAAATTGTTTGCGAATGCGTTGTATTTGTAGACCTTTCTGCAAGTTTCGACAAGATTGTCAAAGTTTTCTCCCCATTCGAAGCGTGACTGGGACCATTCACCTGGGAATGGGTGACCTCAATATCTTTCGATTTCTTTATTGGATTTTTTGTAGTCCGTATGATTATCCGATGCGGCTTGTTGCCAGTCTTTATTGAAGATGGTTAATGGTAAGGAGCCTTGTAACAACTGCATATTTTTATGGAAAAATAAAGGTAGGCCGAAAGAATTTGCATCCGGTGCTTTCCCTGAGTCGAACTTTAAACCTCCTTCTGACACAATCACTCTCGGGGGGATGATGATTGTATGGTCATTAAAATCGGGCATTGGAGTGTCTTCGCTGAAGGTTAAGTCGATGATTTGTTTGGATTTCTTTTCTAATTCTTCGAGTTCCGCTAACCTGGTTTGTAGCTCATGAAGTTTCTTTTTCCTTTGCTCTTCATTCATTTGAGCTGAGATCTTGTGTATTTTCGGTAAGACCGTGGTTGCTCCGAAGAACTCGCAGTATTCCTTGTCCATACGCAATATCGCGTCTCTCATAGCATCTTTGTTGGGTAAGGGAGCTGTTTCCCATGTATGGGGGGGTAATTTTAGGAATTATATCAGTGAGATTTTCTGTACCCAAGGCTCATGATCGTTGTGAATCGTTATTTGTAGCTTACGATTGCTTTCCGGAATTTCTCCGTTTGTTTTCTTCTTTGATGCATTTTTGTCGTTTGCATTTGTGTCCTCGGGGACTGATGGGTAATTTTAGTTTGTCAATATGGAGCTGGCAATCCAATTCTCATACTGAGTGATGACTTTGTAAGCTAGAGTGTTGCTTACTGGTTTCTTTTTCTTTTTCCTTGTTCTTTGACGCTTCTGCCATTTGATCCTTTGGTGCTTTTGGATCTTTGTCTAAATTTTTGGAAAAAGTTTTCAGAACAAGTTTTATTTGTATTGTTAGCGTGATGATTGAATTTACTAGGTGGGAAAGCAAAACATTGCTTACCTTGGCCTCTGTTGAGGTAACTAGAAATCAAACTTTGCTTATTGTACTTCGTCCCTGATGATTCTGTGTTGTCATTTAGGGCAGGATTTCCATTGGCTTTTGATGCATCGCTGGGTGCATTGTTGGCCGTTTGGTCAAGGTTTTTGTTTCCGTTGTTTCCTTCTGTTTGAGAGTTTGCGGATGTTTCTGCCGATGGAGTTAGGCTGCTGATTCTAGCAGTGGCTGCTGAGATAGCTTCAGTTGACATTTTTGGATTGTTCGATCGATTTGATTTTCGTAAGTTTTCTTTTGGTTGTTAAAAATGGAAATTCACAAGCTAAGGGAGCGGTAGAACGGTGATGACAGATAGGGGAAATATTCGACGAAAAAGGAGATGAGGACAAAAAATTTGAACAAGAGAAAAAAGGTTATTGATGATAACCGACGGGAATGGATACGCTTCTTTGAACACTATACACACAAACAATGACAACACTCTCTTTCTTTTTAAGTAAAAGTTTTCGATAAATCTATATCACTTATTTCTTAAATTGTCGACAGGCAATTTTAGAGCTGAAACTTATGATATTGCTTAAAGCTGATTTTTCGATAACTGAAGTTGGATAACAAAGATAACGGGAGGAAAAACGGATGAGGGAAAGTAATTTCTTGATCTCATCCGTGGCCTCTTTAATAACATCACTATCATCTTGGTCTGTAACCAAGGTATGTTGTTTCTAACTAGTTCACGGTGAACCCTTAGATGGGTAATGACTATTTCACTTACGCATTTGACCAGCCTGGTCGAATTTGGGAAAAACCCTTGGTTATGACTATGTCATGATACAGATGGTTTCGTTATTGGCGAGGCACATGTAGGATGTGTTATCCCGGAAGTAGCGGCCTCTGCCTCTGTCGTGCCTCCTCCGGTAAACTACCATAATTTTTAAATATGTATTTCGGCATTCTAAGCGGTTTATACAATACAGTTTACCAATCGTTCAGTATGTCTAATACCAAATTGTGGGAAAGACTTCAATCGATCGATTGAAGCTTGGTTCTTCAAAACTCTCCCACATTTTATTTCCTTCTTCTTTATAAATAACTTTCTTTTTTTCTTTCTTATCTCTTACTACATATATGATATATGTTAATCAACTTATCCTTATTTAAGTGAACTGTTTAGCCTCATCTTTCTTTATTCTGTGGATCTAAATTACATAACTTATCTGTTTACATTCAAAAGCCCAGTTATCATTTTTTTCCTTAGACAGGATAAGGACAGGATGCCATATGTGACAGTAACGCCAGGAGTCGACCTATACTACGAATTAAGAAAAACTATATCTCAGAACCCTTCAGAAAAACCTTGGTTACTTAGCCTTCATCCAGTCTTTCTCGATCTAACCTTTGCTTCACCTTATATTGAAGGTAAAGGTGATTTACTCGAACGTTTCAATATCCTCTTAATCGATTTTCGTTGTCATGGTCGTACGATTTCAAAAGTTTCTCCTTCTTGTGACATCTGGACTCTCGCCACCGATTTGGCGATTGCACTCGATAAACTTATGATCGGTCCGGTTCATATCTTGGCGGGTGATAGTCTGAGTACTGAAATATCGATGAGGTTTGCTGGGTTATTTCCTGAACTGGTATCATCGATTTGTATGTGCGCCATGCCACCTGAAACCGAGTAAGTCATGGTCTCTACATTTTTATGATTTGAGCGTTTTGTGAAACATCTTACATATTTTCATGAGGCTTACCCGATCACTATGTTTTTCGAATAGGCAAGGTTTCATTCAGACTGCTTTTTATACGATGTTATGGGCATGGGTCAATCCCGAGTTTCCAGAAGACTGGGAATCATGTAAGCCTCTTGGCTAGTTAGATGTAATATTTATCTCTGACTTCGCAAGAGTTTGCTTCAAACAGCTGTCTTAGCCACCCAATGGTGGCTTTACGGACCTAAGGCACATCAAGATCTAGATGTCTTGGATAGCTGGGCTGGAACTATGATCAGGCGTTACCCACCTTGTAAAGCAGTAAAATCATTGGGGAGTTGTATCGCTTATACTGAGGTGCGTGATATCACTTCATTTCATCCAAATGATCATTTATACTAATCAATCCTTTTTGAAACCTTCACCAGCGTGAGCCGCCCCCGCAGAGTCTCTATAAATTGATTCGAGCGCCGATATTAGCTCTTCATGTGAGCATTTTCTCTTATAAGAATTTCCTCGTGATCATGTTTTTTGGCTTCTATGCATTGCGACATTCTAGCGCAAAATGACAATGAACTAAGAATTTTTTTGACGATGTTATAAGGGTGACTTTGAGAATATATATGATGTAACGAGAGCTCGAGCACGATTCAATGAGCTTACCAATGCAGGTCCTGGAAGTAAATTTACAGTATTGACAGGTTAGCCCTTTTAAAGTCTGAGTCCCATCACCTGACGCGAAGAGGAGCATACGATTCAGCTGTCTAATCATTTTTGTGCATATCAGGCACGCCGCTTTCGGCTTACGATGCGAATCCCAAGATCGTAAAAGCGAATTACTACCCATGGATTGATGCCCAATTAGCAGCTTCACCTAAAGTCCCTCCAAGAGTTCGACCGAATTTCGTGGCTGCTTTACAACTTCTGTCAGAATTATATCATGACCCTACTATAGCCAAACGAGATCCATACACTTCAGAGAGTTTTTATGGTTTGTCCGAGGAGAAAATCAAATCAAATACTGAGCGATTAGAGTACTTAAGTGAAGTAGAGAAGACAAAATTCTCATTCTTGGGTGGAAATGCTCCAGAACGTTGGACAGGAGCCTCGTTTGAAGAAATGCATCCTTGGAGGTGTGTGGTGTTCATGTTTCTTGCTATGTTTCCTTCACATGACTGACTGAAATTGAGTGTTTAAAAACCAGGTTTTCAAAAAGGTTCAGAACCGACAAAGGATCAGATAGCGTTGTAGATGTTGCCGGAGAGATTATGTTAGCTATCACTGAATCAACACTTGACGAAAACGACGATGATGACGCAAGTGAATGAACAACCAATTTCTTGAGTTTCGTTTTTATGGTTTTCTGAGGCTTCTAGCCATCTACAATATTTCAGATCAAACTATATTAATGACTTCGTGTGTTAGTAACTTTCATATATATATCATCAAGCGGAACATGCAGATAAAAGTGACTCAAACTCAAGGGATCTTCTCCCATACCTGACTTATATATTTGGATTTTCTGTTTACACTTGATGTCTTGGATTCCTTGCTTTTTTTTGTTTTCTACTCATGGAATTTTTTTCTCATTCTTCAAAGGATTAAGTTATTGTTTCGTCTAACTTTTTTGTTCAAAGCGTAGTGATTTTGAAAGTATATATATCTTATTCTTACAAAACTACTGGATTTTATTCAAGCAATGTAACTTCTAACTTTCAATTATATCTCTTGGCAACATACGTTTTCCTCACATTCCAAGTTCTTTCTCATGTCAAGCTGTGTCCAATCACAAGATGGCAATAAGTCCGAGGGAATAGACTAGTTAGTAACTAGTAGAGATGATGATCTCATGAATGACCATAGGTCAATACCCGAACCGCTCCGCAATAGATAGCGGATGCGGAGCGGTTTCGTAGCGTTTTTTTGGTGCGCCACGCACTCCGCCATTCATAGCGGAGCCTGCGCACCGCACTCCAGGGCCGAGGTTTGTCATAGCGGAGCAATTGCTGCGCAACCCGGCCCTGGAGGTATTGCTCCGCTATATAGCGCAGCAAATCGACCGGGTACAGGGTTTCCCAGTGGGACATATGTATGTACCCAAAGACTAACTTGTAATATATATAACCACCTTCAGACAACTAATTACATGTACATAAAGCTTACAAAACATATGTAACTTGTAATAAATCATATATACATCTTAATTACATATACATATACATTTGAAATGATATGTAATATGTAAGCAAATATCAATTACACCTCATAACTCAGTGTCAAGAGTTAAAAAGCTTATATTACATATTACACATAACATGTATATGTAATTAAGTATTATTAGTAATAATCCCAAATAATAATAATAATCAAACCCTAAACCAAAGTAGGGAGGTAAACAAATCTCACTACAGTTAGGTTTGGAGAGGAGAGTATATAAACCCCTCCTCTCTCAGCCTTGAGAGATTTCCCCCAAGCTTTTATTACACAATACTTTTAAGAACAATTAACAGTTCTACTGAAGTAATTATCAAGAGTCTTATAAATATAAGACTAGTGATAACTTCACTACTTTAATCTGTTCCCTGATTAAAAGTAAGTAATATCCTTCAACTTTCCCAGGGTCCTCTACTTTCTCCAAGTAGAACTATCATAGGTTGGTGACCATATAACAACCCAAGGTTGGTGACCATATAACAACCCAGGTTGGTGACCATAGAATAACCCAAGGTTGGTGACCATAAGAACAACTCAGGGTTAGTGACCATAGAACAACTGGTCTAGTAAACCTTAAATCACTCTTTAATCTGTCAACCTGAAGATTAAAGGAAGGACTAGGATCCATCCTTCAATTTCTACAAGGAGTGTCTCATTTTTACCCTTCCCCTTCTCTCTCTGTTTCTAGTCTAAACCCTTTGTAAATACTTTATATTTGCAATATAATAGGATTTACATAAATCATAATACTCTACTAGCCCCATTAGTGAGCATTGAGTACTCAAGGGAGCACCCAACCCTCACATTGTCCATCCTTTAAGTTTTACACATTGTATATTCTCTTTTACTTTTCTATTATGATGGCTGACATTTGAATTTGACTTCTTCCATTTTTCATTTCATCTTTTTCCATATAGGGCCTCACATACCAATGTCGCTGGTGTCTTAACACTTATAAAAAACAGCCAACCTCGTATTATGGCCTTTGGGGCCACCGTGATGGTAGCGAGCAACGTCCAGTATGCAAGGACCGAGATTGAGCCATAGCCGCAGGTGTGGAACTTCCTCTCAGCTATCTCGAACAGTTGGACAAGGAGCAAAAACTTGCCAAGACCACTCTTGATTCCTATCTTTCTGGACCAACATTCTCTGTCGATCTCTTGAATTTACTTTTGGTCATCTGGATCATCCGGCACGCCCTCCCATGGGCACGTTTTGAAGACGTTGCTCTTCGATCCGCCTTTTACACGGTCAATTGAGGTGCTAAAGTTCGATCATCAACATGGGCTGCCAAAAAATCAGTTGATCTTTTTGCAGCCTTGCACGATAAGGCAATCAACAAATTGAAGGTAAGAAACTTGTATCTTCACTCTCTTTATTGATGATCTTAAACTGATATGTTTTTTGATCTATACAGAACAACCAAGGTAAGTTTTGTCTAGTCCATGACGTATGGACAACCAAAGGGAATCAATACGCCTTTGTTGGAGCAACAGCCAACTACATCAATGATAACTGGGAATATCAATTGACACATCTCACCTTGAAGCTCGTCGCTTGGTGTCATTTTGGACTTCTTCTGGCACGACTGATCGGGAAGTTCTTGATCAAACATGGCCTTCATCAAAAGATAAGTTTTTCATCTCATCATCACTTGCTTTATGTTTCCATGTTTTCCTTTCTGGTTTTCTCTTTTGATTGATTTTGTATTTTTATCATCCTCACATGCTAGCCCAGACAACCGACAACAGGGGTAATAATGGGCCCATGGCATCAGAAATTCAGATGATGTTCTCAAACGCTAAAGAACCTGTTTCATGGGATCCCTCGACTCACCATATTCGATGCTTTGCACATAAACTCAATCTTGTTGTTGGACACGGCCTTAAGGCTCTTGGTCAAAAGGTAAGTTTGAAGAAGCCAACAACTCCTTATGGGGTTCCTCTCCCTGTTCCGGGTATCGAGGTCAACAATGGTGAGGAGGATGTCGAGTACAATTCTGAGTCAGATGAGGAAAATGAGGTTGGGTTACCAGACAACCCTGATGGTGTAGAAGAAGAAGATGAAGATGAGGAGGATGGTTCAGGTGATGCCTGTGAGACGGATTACTTGGTTGCAGTGGCCCTTGAAAAGGTAAGTCCTGTCTTTCATCTCATTCTTTCATCTCTTGTATTTTTTTTGTTGGCTGATATTGTGTTTCATTTCATGTCTTGATGCTGTTTAATCTCTTAGGTAGACGCAGTGTCTGGCCAGATTGCCAGAAGCGCGGCTCGTCGTAATGATTTCAAGACACGTGCTGCCCGTATGGGATATACCAGTCGCATGCTGAAACATCCATGCAAGACTTGATGGAATTCACATTACAAAAGCCACAAGATAGCTTGCGAGGCTCACGAGGTAAGCATCTGTTCTCTTGTCTCATATCATCTTTTGTTTGTACTCACTCTTGGTTTATCACAGGTGATCAATTCAATGATCGCAGCCAATTGAAAGGCATGTTTCTTTAAGGGTGTGACCATCTCACCCTCTGAATGGCACGCTGTAGAGTTGGTCAACAAGGTTTTAAAGGTAAGTGTTTCTCTGGCTTACATAACCAAGTATCGTTACTGATTGATTGCGTTTGTAGACCTTTGTTGAAGCCACAGCCCAAGTTGAGGGCAGTGGACCTACAGGTTGTATACTCCTAATGGAGTATAAACGAGTCATTGCCAATCTGCAACAGCTTTGAGTAGAGACCACCTCTACTTATCCCAGTCGAGAAAATGCAATAGATGTCATGATCAATGTTTTCAAATCGTCTTCACTTGATGGTACTAGAGTTTTGAACATGTCATCATTTTGTGAATTTGACAACTTTACATTGTACTTCATAAATTCTTTTTGAAGTGTTGATATGTAATGTGTTTGTTCTATACTGACTTTATGATCTTTGACTTTTGAAATGTTCAATGATAAGAAATGTGATAGAGGTTTATCAGAAGAGACTTCGAAGCGTTTCTTTATTAAAACTCAAAAGTCATTGATTTCTTCATCCGTGCCAGTAACTGCAATATCATCCACATGAGTTACTGACATAGATTTAATTTCTCCATCTTCATTTAATTTAAAATAAATTGACGGATCATGTGCAGAACGAGTAAAACCAATAGAAATGAGATATTCATGTAATTTAATATTCCATTGCCTTGGAGATTGCTTTAACCCATAAAGTGATCTCAAAATTCTATACACCCAATCAGGATTCTCTTCATCCACAAACCCCTCAGCTTGTTCCATATAGATCTCTTCATCAAGATCACCATTTAAAAAAGCTGTCTTGATATCTACTGAAACACCCTTCCATCCATTTTTCGCCATAAGAGTTAGAAATAATCTGATTGACTCTTGACGAGAAGTTGGAGAGAAAACTCCTGAAAAATCGATACCTTTGATTTGCGAAAATCCTAAGGCCACAAGTCTAGCTTTCAACTTGTCAACAGACATATCCATTTGCATCTAATGATTTTTCTTCTGGCAGGTTGAGGAACTAATTTCCATGTTTCTTTTCCTACCAGTGACTGCATCTCAGCTTCAGCTGCTAACTTCCAAATATCCCAGTTAACAGACTTTTTAGCCTTCTTGTAAGATGCAGGGTCCTTCTCGTTTTCAACATACGCCGCTCTACCATATTCACCATAGCAAATTGGTTGACGTCGTGATCTGACAGGTCGAGTTGATCCTTGTTCAGGTGTTGAATCAGAAGTTGATGTTGGTATTGGAGTAACTGAATGATTGTTATCCAAAGTTGGCCACGGAAGTAAGTTTCCTCCCTTTTGACCAGAAAGTTCACTGGAATTGTTAGATTTTAATCCAGGGAAAACTTTATCAAGGAATACTAAAGAAGTAGCTTTTAAAGCAACCTTCTTTTCTGTATCCCATACTATCCCTCCTTCATTGTTATTTAAATATGAAAGAAAAATAGCTTCACACGCTCGAGGTCAGAGTGTCGACTTTAGTTTTATGACATGAAACCATACTTTGCAACCAAATGAATGGTATGTATGTTCTTGACGTTCATGAATACCCAGTAGCAAAATTGGCGATTGAAATTTCTCGTTCGTTCTTGTCGGCATGTTGTTCAACGTCTCGATGGCGTATTCCAAAGCATCCCCCCAAAAACTATCCGGCAGCTTTGACTCAATCAAGCAGCATCTTACTTTCTCCTTCACAGTCCTATTGCATCTTTCAGCCACTCCGTTTAGTTGTGGTGAACCAGGAGGACCAGTTGTTTGAGTGATACCTTTCTCAGAACAGAATGATGAAAAACCTTTGTTTATATATTCAGTTCCATTATCGGATCTCAACTTAGCAATGACACACTCAACCTTTGTACTCATCTCATTATAGAATAATTTAAATTTTGATAATACTTCGTCTTTTGATTTCATCAAGTAAATTTTTGTAAATCTTGTGTAATCATCAATAAACGTTACAAAATACTTAAATCCTTTTTGAGATACAACTGAGTATGATGAAAGATCAGAATGAATGACACTGAGAGGTTTATTAGATCTCCAACCAGCCCTACTAGACATATTCCGGTGTCTCATTTTCCCTTGGATACAAATTTTACAGCTATGTAATTTTCTTAGCTCGCTTTCATCCACTTTAATATTTAAAATAGAAAGTTTCTTTTTAAGCAAAGCATAACCAGGGTGATTAAATCTAAGATGCCATAGTTCTACGTCAGAAACCAAAGCTTTCGAAGAACAATCAGGGGAACTTGATTGACATACCTCATGATTGAGATAGTACAAGTTTCCTTGTCAAACACCGGTACCAACCACCTTTCCTAAAATTTGACAGTCCTTGACGAATGATACTTTAGATGAGGTGAAAACTGTAGAAATGTCTTTATCGGCCAATTTTGATACAGATAAAAGAGGTTCAGAGAGAGATGGAACGTAAAGTGATTTTACGTCGGGAAAGTCAGAAAATGGCAGTGAAACAAATCCTTTTGATATGGATTTAACTACGGAGCCATTCGCAAGACTAATAGTCGTGTCGTCAGGTTTTTGCTTTGAAACAACATTAGAGAATGGTGTCATCAGTTGTGACGTTCCGGAATCAACGAGCCATCCATTGCTTTTAGCTGAAGATGCATTGACAGTTGCCGCTGCCAAAATTTCTGAATTTATATCGATAGAGACATCCAAATCTGAAGAAACTCTAGAAGTCGATGCTGCTTTAGCTTTTGCAGCTTTCAATCTCTTGATTTGATTCTTGCTCGGCTTTGACTTAGCTGAATCATCGTTTGATTTTTCCTCTTTTGAAATCTTATACTTTTGTAGCTTAGATTTTAAAATGCGACAATCATCAATCAAATGTTTTGATTTACCACAATGAGTACAAACAATTTCTTTCAAACTCTCATCTTTCATAGCCGCCACAATTTCAATATCTTCAGTTGAAATCGATCGTCGAGTACCTCCTCCCTAAGAACTTTGAGAATAGTTGTAGAGGAAACTGCATCTCTTTGCAACAGTGGCGCCAGGATGGGTTGCCAATCAGCAGTCAGAGATAAGCTAACAGCTGTAGCAAAGATCATATCGGCAGTCAAAGGTCTGGTAGGTGTCACTAGAGTTTTGAATCTTTGGTAATCAGCCGACATGATCTCAAGATGTTCAGTGATTGAATTGTCGCCCATCTTGGCGGTTACAAGCTTTTTAAGCCAGTACATAACCGATCCGGACAATGCATCTTGATGAGCATCCCTTAATGCAATCCACTGTTTTCTCGGATCATCTTTGAATGGAGACAAGAATTCATAGTTCAAAGAATCGACATATCTCAATATAAGAGACAAAACTTTGCATCGATCGTGTTCCTCAGATGCTGGAAGCGGAGATGGTTGCACTTCTCTTTGTACATAACCATATTGAGAATCTCTTATGATTGTACCCATCACGAATTGCCATTGGTGATAATTCAAATTCGTTCCAGGAGCTTTCAATGGCTCAACACCGGTAGCATCCAACTTCTCGTGAGAGTGAGAAATTGTATACGGTTTCGTTTCTCAAACATTAGATTCTCGAGTTTCTCGAGTTAAAGATTCACGAGTGTTCAATTCTGACCTAGAACATTTTGGTCAAGATGAGATCGGAGAGAGAGACGGAGACAGTTTATCTCCAGTGGTTGACGTAGGATTAGCCATGAATAAGATGGTAAAACGATGAAGATTTGTGAATGTGTGGTAAACAGAAGATTCAAACCGAAGATTTGTTGTTGATTTTAATCTTTAAGGTTTCGGAGATATTCTGATTGACTTAGTTTATTGTCTGTATGCAGACGGACCTTTCCTTAAGGCTTTCTGGACTATATCAAACGGTTTTTAGAGTTTTTGTTTGATACGGTTTTCAGAGGTGATTTACTTATTGAATCAGTGAGATGGGCTCATAACCTGATAAGCTGGATTCACGTTCTGATAGAAAGAGTTAGACAATATTGGAAAGGTAAAGAAGAAGACAAACCAATCCAACTAACAATCAAACTAACAGTATAAATATAAATAATGCTAATATGTTTATAAGGATAATGTTACATGAGATTTATTAGCAGAAACAACTATGATGTAATCATATCAGCAATCACATAGATGACATTCATAACACATTGTCTTGGCTACTGTCCTCAATCCCCGATTCCGTCAAAGGTTTTTTTCACTTCATTATCCCAAATACAATGCTGCTTCTCAAGCTTTGATCGAGGTAGCCTTCAATGATCTTGTAGAAAAGTCTTTGGCTCGCAAGCCAACACCGTCACCTGATGAGCCTGTCGTATCTGTGGAGCCCGATGAGTACGATGTCTTTGGAGGGTTGAATGACATTCCGGACAAGCCCTCCCATTCGGAACTTGACAACTACTTGTCAGGCCAATTTCCAATCAAAAAAGATCAACCCCCACTTGATTGGTGGAAGGTTTATCCCTTCATTTCATTTTTCCTTTTTCAGTTTAACTTTTTCATCTTTATGTTCTCTCGTTTTTTCCCTTATTCCTTATAACACCTTATAATAACAGTCTGCTGATGTCCTTTTCATCTACCGGTTGACGGTACCCAAAGGCACGACGGTACCGTCTGTTTCCACGACGAGTGACGGGGTCGGACTATGGGGTGCGGGAGAAAGTAGCCCTATGTTGAGGGTGGGTTTCTCCCGACACGAGCTTGAAGTTTTGCGGAAGTAAAGTGAAAATCCTTCACTTCTTCCCCTTCCCCACGCGTCAACTTCCCCATAGCCGAATATCCCACACTCAGATCTGGAAACTCTCTCTCTCTCATATCTCACTTTAAGCTATATTGCTTAAACTCTTCTTTTTGAAATTCCTCATCTACAATTGGGTCACAACCTCATAATGTCTTCTAACAACACCAACACTTCTAACACCAAAAGATTTGAGGCAATGATGAGAAGGACAAGCGAGAGATTGAGAGGAGGCTCAGTCCCCCCTCTAGATTCTGAGCAAACAGTCAACCCGCCATCGTACACCGACCAAAACACGTCGACCAACGGGGTGAACAGTCAAAGGGGAAGAGGCCGTCGGAACGCCAGGGGATCATCTAGACCTTCAAACCAAAATGGATCTTCAAACGACGCGACTCCAGCAGTCACTCTCACGGCACCTCGTAGAGAAGGAACCACGAATACCGGGGGCACTCCGTCATCGGCTTTGGGAGTGGGACAAGAAGGAGGTTTAGCAGAAACCAACCAAGGAGAACGTGGAAACGTAGAAAATAATGAGTCCTCAAGTACCTCCATCATCCACCCTCCAGGTTCGAACCCTGCGAGTTTAATAGCCATGGATAACGTTAGCATTAATGCAAATGGTAAGCGTTGATTATATGATTATCCACCTTTGAGTGATGCCGCAGGACGCAAAGACTGCCACGAACACGTGTTGCCACATGAAAGTGATGCCTGTAAGGAGATGTTCTTATGCGGTTGTACGGAACTGAGTTGTTGGGTTCCTTTGTTTTGTCGCGATCAGCTCCAAAATCCCCTCCGTGCAGAAGCACAGTTTGCTCTGTCGGAACCAGCCCACCTAGAGGCTTTCATTCGTGGTTAATGACCAATGGATATTCAGTTGTCAAGCATTCGGACCCTGCTACTGCGAAAGGTCTTACAGCTGCCTTGGGACAGCCTACCGGAAACTCTGCGACTCCTACCCCCAAACGCACTCTCTGTTTCGATTTGACCAAAGACAAGGACGACGTTGTTGTACCGTCTTCTAAGGAACCTGATACGGCAAAGGCGGCTGCCAAATCCAAACCGGAAGTCAGCAAGAAAGGTATAGAAAGGACCGGTGTGGTGAGCAAGATCTCTACTTAAGCAAAAAATTTAAAAATTATGTGAAAATTCGAGTTTTTGGTCAAAGGCAATACTATTATTGAAGTTATTAGTCATCAAGGTTATCACAGTTGATTCATTATCTTCATTTCATTATCTTTCAAATCATATATTTACATAAGCAATTGATATGAACATTTAAGAGTAAAGAAAAATTTGAAAAGATCAATAAAAATAGTATAAGAGTGAAAATTAAATTAAGAGAATTAGTAAGAAGAGATTTGAGGAAGAAGAACATTTAGTTTGGATCTTTAGGAATGGAAACTGTTATGAAAAGAATGAAAGAAGAAGAAGAATATTAAGAAAGTTGGAGAAAAATTTGAAAATATGGGTATGAAAGCTTGGAAAGTGGTTTTTAGCTTATTATTAGAAGAGATATTGGTTCAGGAAGGTTTTATTGTGAAAGAGAAGGATAACATTAGTCAGCAACAACTTTAATCATGAGGATTGATAAGGGAGGTGTGAAGTTATTCAAGAAAAGGGAAATTTCGAAGAAGGGTACTATGGTATTGATTCCTGTGTAGTGATGTCATTGATGGATTGATTGCGCCAAGAGTTTTTCAGAGTGACTTTAATGCTGTGTGATTGATTGGAGTGCTGTGGAATGATCTTTTGATAGAAGGAAAATCATTATCAGACGTGAAAATAGTCAAAATTCATCAAAATTGGAGGTTTTCAGCTGATTACATATGGTAAAACTTGTCAGAATTAGGTGTGTGATAGTTCATTCGACGCGGAATCATTGGTTTCATAATGTACAACCTTTAAATCATTAGTAGCGGAGGAGTAGTGAAAAATTTATAAGGCAACAAAGAAACTGGAATGAATTTCAAATTTGGAGGTTACATGTGACATTTACATGACAAAACTTTATTTTTGCAATCTTTACAACTCAATAACTTATTCATCACACATCAGAAATAGGTGATATGGGGGTGATAAATGATCAGAATTACGAGGGCTATCAAATGAGCTATAGTAATCCAAAGTTGAACAACTTTACAAAACATTCGTAATTCCAAAAATGGATTTCAGCTATGAATATTAGGAAAAAATCATCTGTATTCATCATAAGAAGATCTGTTCATCATTTATTCACATCAATTGATTAAATTCACGCCGTAAATCATTACAAATAATAATATCCATGACATCACATGATTACATTGGAGGAAATTCTGTTGATTTTGACAGTTTTTGAGGTTTTTTGGAGGTTGTTGACCATTGTTGAAGGGTATTGGAAGGTTATATACTGTTTTTAAGGATTTTACGGGCCTTTGTTCCCCTTTTTACTCATCTTATACTTTTGTTAGAGTGTTTTTAATCATCATTAAATTACTTTAGCAGTACTAAGTTCACTAAATTGCCCCTTTACATCAAAGGAGAGATTTCTTTATGTGTGATAAGACTACAAGTCTACATTGGAATAACAATCAAACTGATTGTTGCTTTTGCTAGTAATTAAAGTTGTGTTTTTGTTGTGCTCAGATTGGAATAACACTACAATAGTGTTGAGATTTCTTTATTTCTAAAAATCACGGGAATAATACTTGAATTAAGTATTGAGACATATTTCTCTGGTGCCTTATCCCAAAGAATTCAGCAAAACCCCGTGTTGATTCTTTCAAAGAGGCAGTATTAGGCAACTTCTACTAGTTAGTTATATTAGTAGATTATCCCTCTTTAAGCTCTGTAAAGCTCTTGTTGAGCTTTAAGTTCTACACCGGTTTAGTGAGTTTGTCAAAACACTGGGACGACAAACTTAAGTCTGTAGAAGGTTATGTGCCATTGTCAATTTTCAATGTCAACTGGTTGAAGCAGGATTTGCTCAAAACCACCTCTCGACCGCGTACCTCAAAGGATAAAGACGACAAGTACGTCGGTTTAGACGTCCCCGTTGAATGGAAGATGTCTTTTGGCGAGTGGGTTACCGCCTTTGATCTTTTCGTGCAGTATCTATACTACTATGAACATGGTGACCTGGCGGACGGATTCAAAGTTCATAAGGAGAACGTTTTCGCCATCATGAGAGAGCAATGTGGTGAGCAAATCTCAATCTGCAAAGGTTTAATTGGAAAGAAGTTATTACATTATGTTATTGAAGTCTGTGCCCAAAATCAAGGCTCAAAGTTTTATTAAACTAATTATTAATCAATGTAGCAAGTTACCAACCAAATCAAACCAAATCAACAAATTACAGTCACAAGTTTAGTAGTTTATACATTAAAAGAATTGAGAATCAAATTGAATCAAAAAAAAAATTGAATGAAATTAAAATTAAAATTAAAATGAAATGAAATGGAACAGCAATTAATGTAAAAGTCAGAGTAGAAATTAAAGAAGGTTTAGAGTTATCAAGAAAAGCAAGAAAGAAATCTAAAAATTAAGATAAATTGAAAATCAAATTAGCAAAACAAACAGAAGAATTATACAGAGGAGGATAAAAGGTACTTACTGAAGTGTTTAGTTGGAAGGATTATGAAAAGGAAGGTTGGAATCGAATTGAAAAACAAGAACATACAAAGGAAATGAGTGGTGTAATGAAATTTAGAATTCAAAAGTGTTTAATTAAAGATGTTTGAGATATTAAATGAAGCTTAATTAAATTAGTTTAAATTAGTCAAATGAGAGCATTGATCATTAGAAAGCATTCAAACATTCAAATTAAGATTGATAAAATTATTAATTAACTAGATTACTAACAAGCCTGGCTCGCAGCGTAACCAAAAGCGCGCAGCGCGGCGGTACGCTGCGCTCGGCGCACCCGCTCAACTGCCCGGGTAGCCGGAAACCCGGGCGCAGCGTCTTTCGCATGAATTCCGGGGCCAAATTTTTATCAACTACGCACCCGGCTACTGGGGCCGGGTGGACAGCCACCATTCAGTTAACTCAACACACCCCACGCTATCTGCCACCACACCACCAATTCATCTCAATAGATCTCAATCAATGGCCGCCCTTTCCAGATCAATCAACACGACTTCATTAGTGCCATGTTTCTTTCAACGCTCAGACCTCCAAACCTCACCAAATGAAATCAAGTGGCTGTTGTTATGGAAAAAGGCTATCATATGGTTCTTCTTGCAAAACGAGTCCTCGTTTTGGGTTATAAAGGTAAGCATTGATCACGATCAACTACAGTCCAAACTAGTGGTTCACCATCACATTTGTTCTCTTAACTTTACATTCAACCATCACTGATCAATTTTACATTTCGATTTTTTTTGTTTATTCTCATAAATAGACTAATATGTTGACCAAGCAAACCACTGTAGATTCCTTCCTGGCCTCTGGATACGAAACCGATGATACATCGGCTCCTCCAACTGCTTCAGTTCCAACTCAAAGATCATCTCGAATCATCACACCAGCCAAAAAAGCTCCCGGTATGATCACCCCCAGTTCGGACTCTCGACGAGCTCTTGAAGACTGGAATTCATTCAGATCGATCAGGGACGTCAGAGACGCGCACGTCCACCGACGCCGAGAAAGATCAGCCTCCTTACCAGGCAACGAATTGATACGTGAACCAGCTCGTGGCCGATCAAAGACAGTCACACGTCAATCATCCACAGTAAGTTTTCTTATTTCGTTCATCTATCTCTGATTTCACATGTTAAAACATATCTTTTAACATTTAAATTTCCCACTTCACACTAGCTCACGAGTACCTCCATCAGCCGAGGCCATGACTCAATCGGAATAGAACACCCATTGAATAACTTATTTGGGTCGAACCAGGTCCGTTCCGGTACCTTGCTAAGCCAAGAAAGTGTCGAGGTAAGTGAAAATCTTCAATTGCAGTAATGTATATCTAAAGAGGACTTACTAATGTCTGAACTCATATAGGACCCCTCGGGACCTCCTGTGGTCGACTTGGCACAGGATTCTGATGAAGAAAAAACTCGGATCCGAAAGAGAAAGAGGAACATACCCGTTGACGAAGATTTTGATTGTCCGTTCACGTTGTTTGAGCCAGGCTTTCATTGTAAAGAAAAAAAAGATGTAAGTCAATTTTATCTTTATCTTATACTTCTTATACTCATCAATATATATTGTTATCATTAGCCTCTGGATGGACCACCTCTCTCATACGTTTGTTGATGGTGCAGCAAGGTCGTTCGAGTGAGCGCGAGCTCTCAATCCAATCTGAAGGCTCACCGCGATGGGCACAACCAGTCTGGTAAATCAGGAGCCGGTTGTCCTCGCCGTCGACAGGCAATTGCGGCCGGAGCCAAGCTGCCTCCATCAGTTTCCGAACTACGTGCTCAAGCTCTCAAAGATAATCATCAATCTTCACTCGCTTCGTTTGTAAACACAGCACCGGCCTTCAACAACAAAACCCTCAACCAGTGCCTTGCAGTATGGCAAGTAGCGCATGCCTTACCCTTTATTCAAATCGAAGATCCGATCCTCAAGTCGATATTGTACTGGTTAAGGCCTGATGCCCGCGTCTTTGGTAGAAAATGGTCCGCTGAAGAGGCGAAGAGACTCTATCTCTCACTTCGTGATCTAGTTATTGATCAAGAGCTGAAAGTATGTATCTTTCCTTTTTGTTTTTCTCATTGTTGTGACTTTCTCATTTTTTTTCCATTCTGCTTTCTCTTTCGTTTGTACTTTCTAGGAATTATCAAGCAAGTTTTGCTTGATTCAGGACGTCTGGACCGTGAAGGGCAATCTTCACGCGTTCATCGGTGCTTCGGTTTCGTATGTTAAGGAGGACTGGACATATGTAGTCCATCATTTGTCATTGAAGGTCGTTGCATGGCATCATAAGGGAGTTTTACTCGCCGAGCCTATGGTGGCAATATTGAAAAAGAATGATCTATATAAAAGGATAAGTCTTTCTTCGTTTTTTATATTTCCTTTCTATTTCTGATCCTGACATCACCTCTCCTTTTACATGCTTGCCAGTGTCTCCGACTCTGGAAGCAACAATTTCACCATGGCACGTGAAATGCATCGACAGCTGGAGGAAGAAG